AAAATCTTCTTAAGTAATTTTTACTCCCTCCATCTCATTTTATATAACGGTATTGCACTGGACCTAGAATTTAAGATGTTAATTGACTTCAATAATTTTTTTATGATAGTTCACAAAATTATTAAAGAAATAGTTCCTTATCAAAAAAAGAAAAGTTAAAGTCATCGTTAAGTTAATTTTATAGAGAAAACATCCAAGTCTAAAATTTGGATACTTTAATGAACTTTACTTCTTGAAAGTCGTGAAAACTGTATAAAAATGAAATGGTGTCAAACATATCGGGACATCCTAAAATGGAGGGAGTATCATAAATTTGGGAAGCAGGGAGTGTTTTTTTTACTTATTCGTGATTGTTTAGGAACAATCTATAGTGGAGGCTGATCCAGGATTTTAAGACTTTGGGCGTTGACTGATACAACACAGACTACTTTGTGACAATGCGTGCAGCTTACTATGAATGTATATCGTAAAAATATTTTTGTGTACACACACACAGGAGCCGAATGCAGCGGGTGTGGGTGCACCCAATTGCGGTTGTGTATCCATTGCCACAGAGATGCCCACCTCTGATATGCGACTTAATCATTTTTCTTCTGTGTGTGTTTTCCTTCTAATAGTCCTAAACTCAGATATCTAATATCTCGCCCTGAATTCAATTTTTTTTTCTTTCTTTATAAAGCTCTGGTTACTGCTTTAGTTTGATGATCCAGCTTCATTTTAGGTAAACTTATCAAAGGGTTGTGTCTTGAGTAGTTGTGTGAAGCCAAAAGAACAGAACTCTGCCAACCCAGTCGTGCTGCTCCATGGTTTTGATAGGTATGCCGCATGCTAAGCTAATAGTTCTGACCACTTTCTCTTGTTGTGCCTGTTGTTCATTATACCTCATTGTTCAGCTCATGTTTAGAGTGGAGGTACACATTTCCGATGCTTGAGGAGGCTGGGCTGGAGACATGGGCAGTTGATATCCTTGGATGGGGTTTCTCTGATTTAGGTACATTGTCTTGCCCTAGTTCTTTCCCGGTTTTTCATTTTTTCAAAAAGGATTTTGCAAACAAAGACTGAAGACTTGCTCATGGTTTTGTATCGTTTTGTTTCCTGTGATATCAAAGAAAGGCTTCCATCATGTGATGTAGCTTCCAAGCGTGATCATCTTTACCAGGTACCTACTGATTTTAAAATAAATGTCCTAATTTAGTGCATACAAAATTGGAAGGTTGTAAATGATCTCTTTACTACACATTCTAAAATGTAAAGTTGCAATTCTACGTTCAAAATTAAGGTAAAACTCACATTCAGTTTTTTCGTAGTAGTGTGGTAATACTTAGTATGCAGGTGCACGTGCCAAAGTTATACCACATTGTGCAGTGGTATGATATATACCATAGTTAAGTAGCATTATGAAGGGGCACCCTTACTTACTAGGCACAGTCCTACCCTAGGAAATTATGGAAATATTGTTTACTTGTCTAAGTTTGTCTGTAGAAACCACTAAAAGGTAGGTCTCCCTCCGAAAGGCCATCTCAAAGAATTACTCGGATATTCTGAAAGAATCTTCCATTTACTCGTTTTTAAATTTTTCAGTCCCTGTTATCTTTCAGTTGTGGTCTACCTACATCAAGAGGCCAATGGTACTTGTCGGACCGAGTCTTGGATCTGCTGTTGCCATTGACTTCTCTGTCAACTATCCAGAAGCAGTAAGTACATTCGATAACTGTGAATGCCTATCCAGATTTTATAGTTTATTTTCTATTATGAAGGGGGTATCATTATGTCTTACTCTAAAGTAGCTTTTACTGTTATAGGTGGATAGGCTGGTTTTAATCGATGCAAGTGTTTATGCGGAAGGTACAGGAAACCTTGCAACCTTACCTAAAGCAGTAGCTTATGCTGGGGTGAGTTCCCTCCTACTCCTCTTAAAACAAAGGGATACATTCTACTCATATTGGATTATTTGATGTAACTGCACTTATATGTTATAAGGTTTGTGGTTTAGTGACAACATGATTTCTGATTATTAGCAAACTAAAAAAATAAAAAACAGAGAAACTTCACAACAACAAAAAAAAAAGAAATTGTTAATGATGATCGACCCTTAATTGATTTAAGAAATAAAGAACTCTTACCATTAATTTCAATGGAAAGATCACAGATATAACATGTACTCAGATATGTTTCTTCAGCATTCCGCAAGTATCCACCATCTGTATTTCTTGTTTTTTCTGCTAATCTGACAACAAACCTGCTGCAGATCTACTTGTTGAAAAGTGTTCCACTTCGCTTATATGCAACATCATTAACTTTCAATGGCTTACCATTGAGTACCTGCATAGACTGGACTAATGTAAGTTTTGACCCCCGTAATCTTCAGAAACCTAAAGATCGTACTGATCGATGTTCTGGCATATATTTAACGCAAGGTGTAATATCCTGATTATCTGGTTTTCTATCTAGATTGGCCGCTTACATTGTTTGTTACCTTGGTGGGAGGATGCAACAGTGAATTTCATGATCAGCGGAGGTTACAATGTTGTTTCTCAGATAGAACATGTATGTGCAAATTTACTAAATTTTCTTAAGCACTTCCTATATAGACATATCTGTTACGACCTTCTGTTGCTCCTGTTTTGCATTGACTCTAATATCAAGCAACATTATCTTGTTGGATTTGATAGGCAATGATTTGATAATGGAGAGTTGGGGACTAGCAATAATGATTTTAATCTTATTAGTTTCATCTTAATATGGTTGCCATTTGGGCATGCAATTGTTGTAGTCAAAATACAGGAACTCCTGCCCACTAGTTTTAATTATATTAATCTGTTTTAGTAAGAAAAATTCTGTCTGTTGTATTGGTTAAAACAGACCAGACAATTGATATGCCGTGAGTCTAAAGTGTTAACTGCAAACTTCATGTAACTTCTCTTGGAATTGCAAACCTATTAGTTTTAGACGTCAATAAATTAATTGTATGGTATGTAAATGAGACCAGTGTTATAGTAAATTTCTCCATCTGTAGCCCCCAGAATTTTCTATGGAACCAATTTAGTAGGTCTTAGGGCTGATTGAATTTGCGCCGCTTCTGATTCTGCTGCTCCATTGCTTAAAGATGTGTTCTGCTAGATGTATTTCCATTCTCCATATCATCTTCTGTTTTTCTTCTTGTTGCTGTGGAAAATTCTACAATGTTCTCATGAGCAGGAGGGTTGTTATACAGGTCAAGCAGAAAACACTAATAATATGGGGTGAAGACGATCAGATAATTGACTACAAGCTCGGAGTGGTATGTTTCTTTCAAGTTTGTAACAATAGAAACCTGTCGGCTTGTAGCAGCCAAATACATGGTTCATAAGTATTACTAAAGTGTCCGTTGACTCTTATGTGCGCAGAGATTGCACTGTGAACTGCCAAATGCTATTATACGCCAAATACCAAAGTGCGGCCATATCCCTCATGTGGAGAAGCCCGATGCTGTCTCCAGGTTGATCGTGGAATTCGTTCGCTCTGATCAATCACAAAGGGCAAATCCTGACTCTGTCTCCACCATCTCTGTTACTGTTTGATTACTGGTACTTCTACAAGCAGATTGTTAGCACACCCCACATGTGGAGATCTAACTTCCTGATTCTACTCAAAGATGAGGTCAGTTTCCAGTGAGCACCATCAGCCTTATTGCCTACTTATTGAATGTGCTTTGGCATCCAGTACAGAAATGTAATAAACTGATTACCTAAGCAGTGTAATTAGCTGAATATCTTAGCATTCTTCAACATGGTTCTTTCAGTTCTTCAATATTTGGAGCTGGAATCTATGCCTGGTAAATCATAGCTTGCACCTTGATGCAGTGGTGAACCTTTCTTGTATAATATAGTATTTAGGATTACATCACTCCTATTAGAGCTTCATGCCAGGTACCATGGTAGTTTCAGGAACATTTCGAATTAGCAGTGAATACTAGAGGTAGTTTAAGATGTTATCTCTAGAAATCAGAAATCTTTTTGTGATATTGGCAATTAGAATAACGTATCTTGGGGATAAGAAACTATAGTAACTTAGTCAAGGGATATTGCTGGACAGTTTGTTGAAAGATAGATGTCGCTAGTATTTTCTGTCTGCATTCTGCATGGGTTCCGGAACCCGAGCTATGTACATGTTTTCTGGCTGTTTTTTATTATGTTGGGATCTGGTTCTCTTCTAAGCTTATGATGCAAGAGTGTATACAGATAGTGGATGTGAGGAGTTGGTGATGCTGATCTTATTATATGTCAATTACCAGTTACCCCTTTGAACTTATTTGATTAGTGAAGGTATTGTGATTGATGCATATCCCAACTTAACCTACATTCTTAGACCAGGAATAGTGAACTATTGCTGTTAACAGATCCTTGTTGTGCAACAAAAGTACGACATTTCACATGCTATCATTTTCAAAGGGGGCTCTCCATAAACAGAGGCGGACCTAGTGCATAGACTACGGGTTCCCGGAACTAGTAACTCTTGCGTAGACCCTGTATTTATATTAAGAAACTCACTAAATATTGGTAAATATCTGACTGTGAACTCAGTTATTATTGCATATTCATTTGAAATTACGGTAGGAACCCATAAGCCTCAAATCCTGGATCCGCCTCTATCCATAAAGTTCAAAGGTTGTTACTGGTGTATAAAAGTAGTTCTCAAGTCATTATCCTTTATTACATCATAATAAGGTCCGGCTCATTGAAAGATGTCGTGCATGTGCATTGGAGCCACCATCCAAGTGAAACAACCTTTGGAAGGGTTTTTTTTTTTTAAATGAAATCAAACGAAGGGAAACTTTGGCGTAACTGGTAAAGTTGTTGGCATGTGACCAGGGGGTCACGGGTTCGAGCCGTGGAAACAGCCTCCTGCATAAATGGTAAGATTACATACAGTACCGGGCTGCCCTTTTTCTTTTTTAATGAAACCAAACGAGTTCTCCTTCCAGATTCTTTACCAGTCTGCCTTTTGCCTACATCTTACGTTAAGGTCAAAAGTTCTTGCTTTGAAAATTTTATTTTAGCACCTAAGGGGTTGTTTGGTTGGAAAGAAGTTATCCCAGGATTAGTTATCCCGAGTTTAATTATTCCACCTTTTCATGAGGATAAAAAAACACTAAAATCCGGGATTAATTATACCATAATTTTCTACCAACCAAACATGGGATAAACTCTTTTTAAATTTAGTTCCGGGATTAATTATTCCTTATCCCTCATACCAAACGAGCCCTAAAAGTAGTAATTGTACCAGCTTGAACCAGGACTGTTGCATTTAATAAATTTTTATTTTTCATCAGCTTATATACTAAAATACTCTGATTACCAAAGCTTGAGCATATGAAAAACGATCATCTAACTCTTTTGTTTCTACAAGATTTTGAACATTGGTTTCTCATGATTTTCATTCACCTCATTGATCCTACTCACGCCATTGAGTGCTAAAATACATTAAGGGCTCGTTTGGCATGAGAGATAAGGGATAATTAATTTCGAATTTAAAATCGAGATGAGTTTATTGCATGTTTGGGATAAAATTGTGGTATAACTAATTTCGAGATTAGTTATCCCGGGATTGTAATATTTTTTATCCCTATAAAAGGGTGGTATAACTAATTCCAGATCCTGGGATAACTTATTTCCCAACCAAACAACCCTAAAAAATTTTAAGTAGCTTTTGTCCTTCATGTAAGGTGCCGCCAAAAAGGTCAAAGTAAAGAAACTAGAAGGAAACCTTGTTTGGTTTCTCATGAAAGAATTAAGATGCATTCAAAAAGGGTAAGGTAAAGAAATTGGAAGGAGACACACTTGTTTGGTTTATTCTCTTGTGAAAAACCAAGATTCCTTTCACTTGACACTTGGATACTTAAACCTATTCCTGCATTTCTTTAAGTGGGATTTTCAATTATACTTGCTAATATTCTCTATATACACGCACAAAGAAACAAGATGAAAGAATAGAAAACACTAAAAGACAGATGGACAGGGAAAAGAAGGGTTATATTTTTAATACAGAGATGCACTAATCTTACCAGAGATGGGGTAGGGTAGTGAGTACTCATTGATAACATCTCTAAAATAAACAATACAGCCTTATGTCTCTACTCTCCAGATATACAAAAAGGAAAATCTAAAAAGAAGAGATCAGATTCTTCTACATTAGTACATTACTACCCCAGAAACAGCCACATCCCCAACACTTTCAAAAGGGAATCTAATTCCAAACTTTTTCACTCACTAAAGGAGCGAAGAAGATGGAGAAAGAACAAGAAGAAAACAAACAAAAGAAAGAAATAAAAAGAAGTCCAAGTGGAAGTGTCCAGATGATTCTCCCCTGCTGACCATTGAAAGTGGCTACCCATACTTTGTGCCAAAAGTCCACATTATCTTCTCAAACAAAACTTCCTTCATTTACTGCCTCACATTCATCATTTTCTTTAGAGTCTTAAGAATACCAAGCTTGTAAACAAAATGGCTATAGTGAAAAAGACAGTATTTTGATGAAGAGTCTCTGTGCCACTGCCATCTGGATTGTAGCCACCACTTCCTGTTGGTCCTAGCCCAAAAGTAGGATTGTTAATACCTGTTGTAGTTCCCGTGCCAGTCCCAGTGCCGGTGCTAGTGCCCGTGCCAGTCCCAGTCCCGGTGCCGGTGCCGGGATTTGTTGTGGTTCCTGGTACAGTTGTGGTACCTCCGCCAGTGTTTCTGGTATAAAGTAAAAAACAGAGAAGCAAGAACAAGATCATCCACTATATTCAATTATTAGTTTTATAGAACAGAAAAGTCCCGAGTACACGAGACGAGCTTAAATAGAGTAACATAAACAATGAGAACTCATCTAACAGTCTCCAACTTGCTTGAGATTGAGGCGTAGTTAATGTTGTTATTATAGTATAGTCCAGACTAACCATGTTAATGTTGTTGTCATTATAGTACAGTCCAAAGTAAGCATGTTAATGTTGTTATTATAGTATAGTCCAGACTAACCATGTTAATGTTGTTGTCATTATAGTACAGTCCAAAGTAAGCATGTTAATGTTGTTATTATATTATAGTGTCCAGACTAAGCATGTTAATGTTGTTATTATAGTATAGTCTAGAGTAAGCATGTTCCATGAATGATAAAGAAATGGTGGAAATGACTTTAGTTCTATAAAATATTGCATAATGGCTGGAAACAAATGTCAACTTAAAGATTTTCGTCATGACAATGGGAGAAAGTGACAAATACAACACTAAAATACAGATAATATCAACATCAAAAACAGGTCACATGGGCATACATAATGATGAATCTAACTCATCTTGTGTTTGAATGTTATTGTCTCAGTTAGGACACTAAGAATGACTATTGATAGATTTAGGTAAAAGAAAACAAGTGACAGCACCAACAACAATCTTTAATTATATCCTCACGAAAAAAGGTCACTATATTAGGAAAAGCTTCCAACCATTCACTCATACATCAAAGTTCACCTTTTTTTCTTGTAATAGGTCCTTTCCTACCCTGAGAACAGAACTTTAAGTATTTATAGAAAAATCATGAAAAAAATATTTTTCCAAGATCAAATTGAGAATGAGCTACAAGGTGAAGCAAGCATCATCCAGCCAAAAAGGGCCCCAAAAAAACTTCTATTTTTTAATTAAATCAGGGGAATTATCACCATTTATGTCCTTGGAAAAGAATGGCATTCGCTGCACTAGAAGGGGAAAAAACTCATTTTTTTTTTTTNTCATTCAAGATTGACAAGATAAATACAAGATCTAGCATCACAAATAACAAAACCTTAAGAAACATACCCAGGGGTGGTCTGGTAACATCCAGAAGTAGAGGCTGTTGATTAAAAAATTAAACATAAGAACAATATCAGTGACTGAGAGAGGAATAAGTGTGTTAAAACAAAGGAAAAAAAGATCTTTTAGGAACTTACAAGATGGTGGATTTGAACTCAAAGTTGCAGTTCCAGAAAAGTCACAGGTTGCACCAGATGCAGCTTTCTTCTGATAATAGCTATTTACAGCATAACTGCAGTGATCTTTGATAGTGTTAGGGTTGTAACAAGGTCCATTTTGAAGGATACCAGTACAGTCAGCTCCATTTCCACAAGCATAATCTATGCTCTTCTGCATAAGACTGTCTCCTACCCCATCTTTGCACAAACAGTAATTAGCACCACCTAGAAAAACAAAACAAAAGAAAGCCACCAAAATAAATCAGCTCAAAAAACAGAAATATTGAAATTTTGTTAAGGAAAAAAAAGACTCAAACTTTGTATAAGAAATTCTTGTATACAGTACTAAAAGCAAAATCTGGTGAAACCCTTTATGAAGAAACACATGGAAAATGCAGGAAAACAGAGAATCTTGAAGTGGGAGAGCTAAAAATTCAATCTTTAAATGAAAAATTGTTGGATACACAAACTAAGAGCAAAATCTGATGAAACCCCGTCATAAGAAACACATGGAAAATGCAAAAAAAAAAAAAAAAAAAAAAAAAAGAAAAAAAAAAAAAAAAAAAAAAAAAAAAATCTTGAAGTGAAAGTAGTAGCAACAAGCAGCTTACTTGAGTAACCAGTGAAAGCCAAGAAAAGTATTAAAGACAGTACAAAAGCAGTAGCCATGATTGTTTTGTGCCAAGAACTTAGAACAAGTTATGAAGAAATTCTTGTTCCCTGTCTTTTCAAGAATATTAATAGAGCTAGTGAGTAAGAAGAATAAGAAGAAAGAAGAGATTTTAACAAAGAAGCTCCAAAAGGGGTGTTGTTATAGGGAAAAGGAGTTCTCGAGACAAGAAAAATGGTATAGTAGACGGTGCAAGGTGGAGCTCAATGTCTATTTTGGGTGGCTTTTTATATGTATAAAATTTTATGTATTTAGCACACAAATTACTATATGGGTGTTAAAAGAATAGTAATATAGGGGACTGTGATTTAGGAAAGTGAGCAGCAATGGCAAAGCTTTTTTGTCATATAAGTATTTGACTGTACTCTGTACTATGTAATATGTCAGTGGTATTGTTTCTCAAACGGTCATAAATTAACTCTATGGTTCCAATTCAGCCAAACGGTCATAATGTAAGTCGAAAATATTTCCAAGAAAATGACAAAAATTGATCCCTCCTGTTTGGGTAGGTGCAAAATAGTAAAAGATAGTTTGGTGAGCAAAGTATTATGTGTTCAGGCAGGGTTTGGGGATGCGTCAGCCACCCTGTTGCAAAAAAAAATTACATTGCTCGAATCCATAACTTATATGTCGCATAAAACAACTTAATCATTACTCCAAGGCTCCCTGGAAAGCAAAATAGTCCTCGTAGCAATTTTGATTCTTTAAAATGAATACCTTTACATTTCGTCAAATATATAATATATTTTAAACATCTAACTGTTTGGTGCAGTTTTCTTGTGTAGTTTTGTTATCTTTTGTATACGTAATTTGTTGTAGCTGGTGTAAATTTTTGTGTTGCAGTTTCTGAAATCTAACGAGATTTTTCTGATGTTTTGTTAAAAAAATTTATTGGTAGATCTAACAGGTAGAGTTTGTTAAGTATTTTAGGAAGACCAAAAGCACTCACTTTTGGTAAAATCAAAGGACCAAGAGTGTCCGTAAATGTTTTGGAGAGGCTATTGTAAATCCATCACAAACATTAAGGGACCTTTTTGTCATTTAATTACAGAATAATGGAGGGGCACGAGTCTAGCCTTGAAACAGAAGAGGCCCCCACGAGGCTGGTTTGTTTTAGCACACCTTTTCCTGGTGTGCTGTCACTGTTTGAGTTTGCACTGGTGTCCCTTTGCCATTCAATGGTGGTACCAGAAAATCTCAGAATCTCCTTAACATATTATTATTATTTTAAGGGCTCGTCTAGTACAAGAGATAAGGTATAATTAATTTCGATAATAAATTTGAAATAAGTTTATTTTACGTTTAATTGAGATAAAATTATAATATAATCAATCTCGGGATTAGTTATTCCAAAATTATAGTGATTTTTTTATCTCCATAGAAATATGGGATAATTAATTCCAAAATAGTTAATCAATTTTGTGGCTTCTTACAAATTTATTTTTAGTTTTATAATGTTACCTCTCTTTTTTATATATAAATATGGGAGATTTTACACATAAGAGATTTGTCATTTACACATAAGAGATCTAAAAGGTAATTTTTAAATTTTGAAATTGTAAAGGGATACGATGGCCCATTTCCTCGCTTGGGTAGGATGTATTAGAGAAAATAATACATATTGTAACTTTGATATTATTAATTTCTTTGGTTGTATTTTTTTTTTTTTACTATGTATAGCTAATACATGTACTAGTTATACATCATATTCAGTGTTACTTTTATACATAACAAACTATGGCACTAGCAATACCATAACATTTAAAACATGGATAAGCATGTATAAAGATAAAAGTGTCCTTTCAAAACCTTTTTCCAAATCATTTTCAAAGAATGTAGAGGGCATTTTTATAAACAAATAATTAAAAAAATTATGCAATACATTTTATTTTTAATATGACCTAACCAAATAGTTGATAAGATAATCTCAACATAACTAATCTCAACATTACTAATTTCAATATTACTATTATACTGTATTTGCTAATATTCTTATACACACTGACAAATATTCAATGGAGTATGAAATTGGACAGAAATAGAAAAGTACGTAAAAATAGCACGGTATAGCCAGTTTTCGGACTGGTCATTCAAAAATAGCCAGCGTTTACCAAGTCAATAAAAAATAGCCACTATTTTGCTGCAACAGAGACCGGTCCAGCATAATATACTGGAGTTTGGTGCACCTGTGTATTAACTCCAGCATATTATGCTCGACTAGTATACTTTGTTGGCTCCAGTATAATATACTAGAGACTGGAGCACCGGTGCTCCAAACTCCAGTATATTATGCTGGACAGATATACTTGCTGGAACTCCAGTATATTTTGCTGGAGTTCTAGTGTACTTATGTTGGAACTCCATCATATTATGCTAGAGTTCCAGCATACTTATCCTAGAACTCCAGTATAATATGTTGGAGTTCAAGTATACTTATGCTGGAACTTCAGCATAATATACTAGCGTATTTTTCGGGTTTTGAACAGTGTTTTTGCTCAGATTTATCTTTACATGAAAAGTAGCTAAATTTCGATTACTTTTAAAATTGGGCTATTTTTGAACAACCAGTTGTAAATCGGTCTATTTGTCAAATTAATGGTTATTTTAATTTCAAATGACCATTTGCAAATGAACTTATTTATAACATAAAAAGGACAGCCTAGTAGAGTCCAAAATCTAAATGTGGTCTTTAGTGAAAAATAATTAAGTGACCAAACTATATAAAATGCGGTTTTCAAGCGCGTATTACTTTAACGTCTGTTTTGGACGTTAAGGTAAAGCATGTTTTATATAAAACGCATTTTTGAAATATTCTATACATGTTTTGTGGGCCCACCAATAATTTTTCTACGCTTAACTGACATAACAATAATTCAAATAGGTAAAACACATTTTAAAAGGGCATTTTACCTCAAAAAATTCGACCACCCCGGATTGGGCATTGCTCTATTTAAAGGTGATAAAGGTTTTGCAAAAATCCATTTAGAAATATTCTCAACTCCTAGTAAATTTTTCTTCTTGTTAAATTCTTAAGCATTTTGTCATAATATCTGAAGAGCGAAAAGTAAGAGTTTCATTATATTGGGGGGGGGGGGGGGGTGGGAAGGGGGTGAAATTGTGGTGGCAAATAACTCAGTTAGCTATAGTTTATCTCCACAGAATCATGTTAAATTACCACTTACAATGGAGTACGATAGACTTGTATCATTATTGTGTAATAAAACAAGTGTGAGCAAACTTTTGGTGAACCTTAAAGTAACCGGAAGATATCCGTATTCTATCACTCCGCAAGGGGTTGCTAGTTACGCTAAGTTTAACATCGAGGATGATGAAACTCTGAGAGATTTTTTGGGGACTCTGGATGAATACCGGGAATTCATTTTGATAAAAAAATTGGAAAGTACGTGAAGGTTGAAGACGTTCGCAATAATGAGGTTGCGCAAAGCAGGGATAGCCCTTAATCATCGGGTGGTTATTCTGAAGCAGTTTCAGCCGAACAGGTTCCGGCTAAAAAAGATTGGCCGGATCTAAACTTATCTCCACGGGCGAATGAGGAGCGAGGAAATAATTTCTCTCATGTTTTACATAATCCACAAGACGACTGGTAAACTTCAATTTTCCTTTGTGTTACGATATTTATTTTTGTTGTATTGAATTTGTATTAACACTCATATATTCCACATGGGGTACATCCAGATATGAATTTTACAAGTTATGAACCACGCCTAGTTGGAATATGCGTAGTTTTGGTGTGTTGGATCATGGTGGTCGATCCGAGAGTCATCACCAACAGGATAATGTTCATCATGGAATGTCAACACATTACGACTTGTAAGTGAAGTGATATAGCTATATGTAAAGTATTTATCAATTTGAGTAGCTTATTATTTTGTTGTTTGTGCAGTGAAAACGAGCAAGTTGAACCACCTGTCTTGACTCAATTTCCCGAAGACAACATATTTAATCTGGATCTAGCAGATGCACAGAGTCAGGAAGAGAACATTAATTATGACAACAATACCGATGAGTCCGAAGATGACACGCCCTTTCATGATGAGGGTGGTGATGAGGAAGAAGAGAATGATGGACATGATTTGACGAGGGAGCATGCTCCATCCCCCGTTAGACCAAGAGTGTACGAGTCTCACGTGTCGTTTCATTCAAGACATATTCCTTACCTTGATCATTTGCCTAGTATGCCGGATGTGGATGCCCTTACAAGGGATTTTGATGAAATTCGAACAGCAATGTAGGATGAGTCTAGACCAATGGTGCTAGCAAAGGGCATGCTTTTTCCTGATAAAGCGCGACTAAGCAGGGCAGCGAAAATATACAGCGTAAAAGAGTGTCGTGAGATGATGGTATGAGAGTCAAGTCCGGATGTATACAAGGTTGTTTGCCGTAGATGGTTTACGGGTTGTCATTGGATGTTGCGTGCGAGCAAGAAGAAAATGGATTTGTGGAAAGTAGGGAAATATATTGGCACCCACACTTATGAAATGGACACATTCAATAGGAATCACTTCAACTTGGATGTTGACTTGATTTCTCTTGTCCTGATTCCACACATTGAAGCGTCCATAAGGTACAAGATCAAATAGTGTATTACATCCGTCCACCAGGAATACGACCATACCATTACCAAAAGAAAGGCATTTCTCAGGCACAAACGTACGTTTGAAATTGTTTATGGTAACTGAGATAAGTCATTTGCAGCTCTACCCAGGTACATGACCGCATTGCAACACTTTAACCTGGGGACAGTTGTTGAATGGAAACTTGAGCGTAGTTCGGGAATACCGGAATATATATTCAAATACGTGTTTTAGGCATCTAAACCAACAATTGATGGTTTTGTGCGTTGTCATCCGATAATATTCATAGACGGTACTCATCTCTGTGAAAAGTATGATATGAAGTTGTTGGTCGTCATTGCAGTTGTAAGCACGTGATTTTTGCCCTATATGAGAATTACTCCCAAAAAATTCAAAATAAAATGATTTTCTTTGGTGTGCAATTTTGAGAATTTTTGTGACATTTTTGGATAATTATTTGTGTTTGTCGGTGCATGTTTATTTGTTAAATTAATAAAAAATACAAAATATGTCGCATTTTTCATGTAGGATTTAATTATACAATTGTTAGTAATTGAGTTTGTTTTACAAAAATTAAAAATTACAAAAATAGGCATCTTTTGCATTTTTAGCATTTAATGTCCAAAT